TTTAAATCTGCATGGCACTTTACTCCAATTGGCTCATTCGCTTGCTTAAACTCAACGTTGATTCTGATTCCGCAGAATTGGGTTGGGTGTGAAAAAGTATTTGTTGTTAACATTCTTTTTTCATTCGATTTTTCCAGTTACGAGTCCTTTTTTAAAGCTGATCGTTTTGTGTTCATTTTGTTTAGTTTTTTTTTCGTAACAGATTTAATGTTTAGTATAGAGCTTAGAAAAAATTCGCAGTGTGAGATAGGCAAGAAGTAAGGCATGTAGCAACATCAGCACGGGAAAGGGTATTCCTTTAAAGGCAAGTAAGGGCAAAAATATTTTAAGTCAAGTGATAGCGATTGCTGTATGAGTCGTATGATTTTTTAATCAATCACGGGCAACGCCGGGCCATGCTAATAGTGATGATAATAAAATGCAAGTTGTTTTGACAATGTCAAAGAACAGACATGAACTGTTATTCTTATTCTGAATAAAGAAAAAAGTTGTGATTAAAAGATGCAAAAAATTATTTATGAAATTATTAAAAATTCTGTCTCAATTCATGGGTTTTATCATTAATTACATTATTTACATTTCGACTAATATCCTCATCTCCGTTGTTATTATTGCAACGTTCACGCCGTTGTGTTCTCCGCACTTCTTCAAGTGATCTTTGATATAGTTAACGTTTAGTTTAATTCAAAATTAGGGTTAATCAACACGGGCAGATTACGCTCATTATGTTATCTATATATAGCTTCGTGGATAAAAACGAAGTATGAGGAATTTAGAAGTATAGTAATAGCAAGTTCAATCCCGGTGCCGAGTATTCTTCGCATATGGTCTTCAGATTCGCGATCATTGTTGGAGCTCTCGATTGGATTTGAGTATTCAAATAACGCCACAGATTCTCGATTAGGAACTGACTTGGCCATTTCAGGGTATTTACATTATTTTCCAGAAAGCCATTCCTTCGTAGATTTTGCAGTGTGCTTAAAATCATTACCTTGTTGGAAGATCCAGTCAGAAGAAAGTTCAAGTTTTTCAACTGATATCATTAAATTTGCTTCCAAAATATTCACTCTTTGAGTACTGTCACTGGATCTAACTAACGCCTTAGGTAGATCCAGTGACATGACCCAAAGAGTGTGGGTTCGATACCCGGTTAAGGCGATGGAGAACTTGGAGAGGGGAATTAACAGGAGATAACTGATAACAGATATCCATTGGACATAACACATGGAACTAGAACAGTTTACCCTAGTGAGCGAAACGTAATAAATATGGCGACAAAGATGAGGACAATATATATATATATATATATATATATATATATATATATATATATATGTCGTAAACGGTTTATCTTCGACATTTTGTTATTTTTAATTTATTTTGTTTAAATATTATTTTTTAGGGATACTCACTTCCAAATAGAAGCTCTGTTTTTTAAACGGTATTTTTTAATCCAAGACTACTCCACCAGGTCAATTCGATTTTAGAAGCATGGTATTGCACACCACTTGAATGTTAAATTTGCTTTGTAAACAATGACACAAAATATTTTTTCAAAATCATTGCTGTTTTTTTTTTTTTTTAGGAATTTAGTTAAAACTTAATTTCACGTTCAAAACTGGAACGCTAGTATTCAATTCCGGTGATCATTGAAAGGCTTCGCGCACAGCCTTATAACATTTATAATTGAAATATAAGCAGTTGGTTTAAAATTAAAAGGGGTAATAAATTCCGTAACCCACAAATGTATATCTTCAACTTAACCCAGAGAATAAAGCCGACCAAAACACAGAATGTTGCATGAAATGTATAGCTCTCAGCATCCGACTGTAGGTTTCATGAAACTTAGGCCTTATATAAAATATATATGCGGAAGAAACGCAGAAACTTTGTTTTTTTTCCATTTTTTCATTCAAATCTTACATATATGCCGAGGAAACTCGCGTATCATGTAACTTTTGAAGACATAATTTTGAAAGTAATTTTAGGGATCATAAACGACGAGAGAGTTCATATATATATATATATATATATATATATATATATATATATATTAAAGACATTTTTTATGTTTAACGTTGTTATTTATAGATACAAGTATTTAAGCAAATGCTCTGTTTATGGTAAACAGTATTAAATAACATTTACCGGCCTGAATGTCCGAGAAATTTTCATTTTTATGAAAATATTCGTTCATTTTGTTATTTAATACTGTTTATCATAAAACAGAAAATTTGCTTAAATACTTGTATCTATAAATAAACAACGTTAAACATAAAAAATGTCTTTAATAAATAAATTGTCGGACCTTGTCCATTTCTTAATATATATATATATATATATGTATATGTGTGTGTGTGTGTGTGTGTTTAGTCGCACTGAGTAGCTGTGATTCAGCTAAAAAGTACTGTCTGTGAATGACATAATTTTGCTCTTGAAAATATATTTCAATTGAACACTGTTGAGTGAGAAAACTAATTCTATAAACAACAACCACCTGCGTTAATGCAAAGCTCTTCAGTAAGATGAATAGAGCACTCCGGCTGATTGGTATTTGTTTACATTCGTAAAAACAATACGCTAGATTTAGCTGTTTCACTCTGTTGAATGAAGATAACTCAGTGGTAGAAGCTCTGACTAATCAGTTCAGGTTCGATCCTGGCTTGAGGCATTCTGATGTCTGGTCGCACTGAGGAGCCGGGATACAGCGAAACAGTACTGTCTGCGAAAGACATAAACACACACACATATATATATATATATATATATATATATATATATATATATATATATATATATATATATAATCATTTATTTAAAAATATGATTCCATCGCTACATAAGAGTTCTCTTGTTTCAAAAAACAAGAGCTGAAAACTACAATATAATTGAATTAAAGTACCAAGCTCTGTTCCATCTTAAAGCGAAATTTTTTGGGGAATAACTAATTCTTGAAATTTACGCGTTTTTCAAGCATATTCATTATTAAAATTAAAATTACTGTGGTAACGGCTAGAGCAATTATTTTTAAAAAAAAGTGGCGTAAGGGTTAATAATTTGTATCAATATCTCAGTTACTTTCAAAGAGGTTTTGAAACATGTAGCGATGGAATCATAATTTTGAATAAATAATTATATTTAGGCTCTACTTTTGTATCGAGCACTGTTTTTTAAAAATAATAACAAAAATATTAAAGAACTTTGGATTATTTACCTAACAAGTTCTTTCCTATTTTCTATATATTTTCACACACACACACACACACACACACACACACACACACACACACACACACACACACACACACATATATATATATATATATATATATATATATATATATATATATATATATATGATGGAATCTTCTGTCGTTTTTTGACGTTTGAGTGTCTTTCAGTTCAGCTTTTTATGTTTATGTTTCTTATGAGCAATAATCCTGCACGGGATTTGCAAACAAATCCACACGAGGGACATGCTGAAGGGTTGACCGTCATATGGGCTGGTGTATAAGCCCGAGATTTAGTGTTAATTCTTAATTCTCTTAGATGGTTCAGACGATTCGTTTCAATGTTAGTTATACCTCGGTAGCAAGTATTTCTCCAGTTTGCTCTGTTTTCAACAACAAGTTCGATGACCTCTATAGGGATATTTGCAGCATTTATTTTGTAATTGAGTTTGTCACTGAAGCGCAAACAAAAAACGGCCTACATTACGCTTACCATGAAAAAGTTGGTTATAAATGAGGATTTTCGGCATCCGATTATCACTCATTGTTTAACTTTTAAATATCAATTTTTTGTTGTTTTTTTTCCCCCGACATCGATGTTTTTTGGTAAAATGCTGTTCTTCAGGGGTTCTGGATTTAAATTAGATTTAATCCGCGCCTTTTATTATCAATCTTTTAATCGGTTTTGTACACATGCGTATTCCTGAAATTGTCATTCTTTTACAAGAGCACGTTCATGAATTTCTGCTTTTGTCTACCTCTTCACCTTTTTTCAGCTGTAGATTTTTCTTCGAGTTGTAAATTTTTCCTTCGAAAACTAAATTATCCTGCATGTATAAACGTGTGAGCGCACGCGTGTGTGTCTAAAATTGTTTGCGTATGCATGTATATGTGCTTGTGCGCGAGCGTGTGTATGTGTCCCAAACTGAGACATTAGATTTATAAGTCCCAATAATTCATACGCATACCTCAAGGACACATGGCCCAGTGGATAAAGACGTTGGTTAGATCCAGTGGCAAGACCCAAATAATGTGAGTTCAATACCCGGTTATGCAAAGATCAAGCAGTGGCGAACCAAAACTTGGACAGTTAAGTTAAAGAAAAATAACTTGGAGAATTAAAGTTTAAAGAAAAATAACTGAGACTGGAACTAGAATAATCTACCCCGGTGGACGAAATAAAGGGTTCGGTTCAAAAATCCAATCACCTGAAGAAGACCAGAGCGTACAACGGCTGAAACGTTGTGAATATTGCAATGAAGATGAGAGTAACACTCCGAATAATGGAAATAATGCAAGTAACGATATATTGTGAAACGGCAATCAATGCCACACATAAATATAAAAAAGACATTTTATATTAAAATTAACAATAATACATTGGATGATCAACAGACTATATATCTTAAAATCATCTTTATCTGAGAGTATAAAGATTTACGCCGAATATTTAGATTTCGGCATTAAATAACCAATAGAGTTTTTGATGAACAAAATTAACCATCTTACGTCCATGCTTCTTTCTTTTGCCTATTTCTATCTATTTATCCTCTCTGTGTACTTCGGTTCCATCACATGCTTATCACCATTCATTTTTTTTATTATTATATATTTGTCTTCTTTGTTCTCTTTCTTTTTTGTAGCTATTTCCTCAACTCTTCCCTCGGCCTCCACCACGTCCATGAACAAACACTTAGGTTTCTTTTCTCCGTAAAACGATACTCACACGAGAGGCAAGAAGACGGCTGAAACCGTCAACACTTTTCTGTCTCATTCTGACACGTGGTTCAATTTCTCCATTCTCGCCCTAAGCACAAAATAACGGGTGCAATAAAGAAATGATTTAGGGGTCTTGAAAGAAGAAGAAGAAGAAGAAGAAGAAGAAGAAGAAGAAGAAGAAGAAGAAGAAGAAGAAAAGCTGCCTGTAAAAGGAATGATAATTGAATACTGAAGAATAAAATTGAAAGAATAAAAATGAACGTAATTCACGAAAAGAAGAAAATAAAAAAATATGAACGAAATGACAATAGATTTCAATATAAATACCTCATAATAATTATTTGCCACGCCCTTCATTATTTCGCACGACCGTTACGACCTGCTAAAATCTCTTAAATAATGGACTATTCCATTTTGATTACATGTAGAGAAAGACATATCAGTAACGCTACTTGGTTTCAGTAAAAAAATGAAAGAAAAATAGAAGCGTTTCATGCCACTTTCTAATACCTAATAAATTATTGTGGAGTAGCTGAACACCCCCACAAGATCGTCTGGTCTAAGACTATTTAATCAACACTCTCTCATATTGAGGGGGAGCAGTTAATAGCTGCCTGTAAAAAGAATGATAATTGAATATCGAAGAATGAAATGAAAGAATAAAAATGAACGTAATTCACGAAAAGAAGAAAATAAAAAAAATATGAACGAAATGACAATGGATTTCAATATAAATACCTCATAATAATTATTTGCCACGCCCTTCATTATTTCGCACGACCGTTACGACCTGCTAAAATCTCTTAAATAATGGACTATTCCATTTTGATTACATGTAGAGAAAGACATATCAGTAACGCTACTTGGTTTCAGTAAAAAAATGAAAGAAAAATAGAAGCGTTTCATGCCACTTTCTAATACCTAATAAATTATTGTGGAGTAGCTGAACACCCCCACAAGATCGTCTGGTCTAAGACTATTTAATCAACACTCTCTCATATTGAGGGGGAGCAGTTAACGATTACAGTTAACTATGCTTGTCTCCGGGCGGAGAGGAACCCAGACGAGGCTATGCCGAAGGGGAGTGTTTCGTCTGTGGAGATCGACAGCTGCCCGATTTTGTAAAAGTTGTTAAGCTCAAATATTTAATGAAGCAATAGGAGAATTACTATAAATATTTTATTGTCGTAGAATGTCGTCTTGATCATATTAAATCATTAACTGATAAATTAAGATTCGTCAGAATATTATGATAGGAAATTCGTGAAATTTTTCCTTGTTAAAACTAGTAACGATAATTTTACGATGTTCATATTTGAACTTTTTGTAAGGAATCTTAATGATTATTGTAATTATCAAATCGGCTGCTTTCAAGTTTGAAGAATACAAAAGATGAAACTTATGAGAAATCAAGATCACTTTTACCTAGCATCAGAAAAAGGTAGTTGAAATTTCTAGAGCACATAATGAGGAAAGAGGGCTTGGAGACTTGAACACACACAGGACATATTGAAAGCAGAGTGACAGACAGATGTAGCGCATAACATAATTAATGTATTTGGCAAAACATGTATGAAGAGACCTTCTATCCAAATTCGCTTAAGACCACTGCTTCTAAGCCAAGAGTTTGGCGAACATTGTTGTCTCATAAATAATGGATTATTCTGTTTTGATTGCATGGAAAGACGGGTGGGGAAGAGATTGTTTGATTTCAATGTGAAAATGAAAGAAAGAAAGAAAGAAAGAAAGAAAGAACGAAAGAAAGAAAGAACGACTTTTTCAGTAAAATGGCAAAAAAGATACACTACTTAAATTGCTCGGACTATCATACACATCTTTGTTGCCATATTTATTACAACGTTTCTGGGTTGTACGCTACGGCCTTCTTCAAGGGTTGGAACGTCGAACTGAACCCTTTATGTTCTAGTTCCATGTGCCATGTTTAATGGATGTCAGTTATCAGTTATCCCCTCTCCAAGTTCTCCATCGCCTTAACCGGACATTGAACTCACACTCTTTGGGTCTAACTACTGAATCTACTCGCTGGGGTAGATTGTTCTAGTTCCACGTGTCATGACTTTGGCTTGGTTTATTTTGTTTTACGTCATATCAACTTCAATTGGTTCTTTAATTCGGACAAGATTTTTATTGCTGTTAATTGTTTTTTTTTTGTTTTTTTTTTTAAATTTATTGCTAGTAATATTTTTTTGAAGTATAGCTGGTAATATATTTAAAAAAAACTTATTGCTGGTATTATTTTTTTTCAAAAAAGTATTGCTGGTAATAAATTTTACAAAGTATTTCTGGCATTGAAATCCATTTTTACACTTTTATAGTGTTTTGACATTATTTTGAGGGTTAACTCTTTACCTATAGCTGGAACCTTAACAAGTACTAAAACCTCGCTTAGGGTGGCCCTGGGAACACCAGCAATTAAGAGGTGTTTCCACGCGTCTTAAAACCTCCTGATGAGAGGCCTTGCTGTTGGATGTAGTTTATCGTCTTACCCAGGATGCGGATGTAGTTTATCGTCATATCCAGGACGGTGAGTTATCGGTTCGTTTTATTTTATTCATGGAATATAATTAACTTTATATTAACTATCAACTCAAGGTCGATGTCAAAAACCTGAGAATTATCCACGAAAATAACCCCGTCCTTTTACATTTTTTTCTTACATTGGGGATCACCCTGTACAAATCCCTGGAGCCACCCGAGGTAGATGGTTAAAGAGTAAGAGGCGCAGTTTTTCCGGATATGTGGGAAAGATAACGCTTAACCCGAGACTTGCACAGGATAAGATTGTAGTGATCAGGAAAACATCCTCTTGAAAGTCTGTTCAACTGAGCAGTTGTTTGAAGGAAGGAGCTGGTTGAGTGGAACTTACTTCTCTCATATGCAATATATATATATATATATATATATATGATGGTTCTCTATAATGCGCATAGATTGACAGGTCAGAGCCGTGAAGGTTAGAACTAGTGGAATATAAGTAATGAATCTCATCCTGGGACATATTATGAGGAAGGAGTGACTGGAGATTCTGATACTCTCGGGTCGAATAGAGGAAAAGAGCGACAAGGGAAAACAATACGTGACATATCTGGCGGGCTTAAGCAAGTGGATGACAGAACGTGGTCTGGGTGTGAAAGCAAAGGGAAGGAACATGTTGAAAGCTGCAAAGGAGAAAGGGAGGTGGAAAGCCATGATCGCCTACGTCCTGAAAGGACATGACACATAATAATAAAGAAAGAAGCTCATTTGACCACTTACCATTGAAGTGACGATAGGGCAGTGAGAGGCTCTCGACTTTTGGGCTGTGAGAGAGATGTTGCAGGGTGGAAAATATTCCGTCACCCACAAGGACGTGGAGATGCCGTTTGATTCTATCGAGACTGGGAATATGACAACAGTACACCATTTTAAGTCTGTCTTGGCACTTGTAAATATAAGTCCTTAAAGGTGGGATACAAAGAACCACCATTTTTCACGAATTGAATGTATCTAGTCAGTTTCCTTCCCACCCTGATAGAGCTATTTGTTTGATTGTTTTGTTTTGTCTTACGGCATATCAAACTCAATGTGGTATTTAATGCTGACAAGATTTTTACTGCTGGAAATAATTTTTTTCCAAAAATTCATTGCTGGTAACTTTTTTTTTTTTTTTTACAAAAACGTATTGCCGGTATTAAAACCTATTTTTAAAATTTCATAGTGTTTAACCCCAGTGTGTTGGGGGTCAACTATTTGTCCATTGCTGGGTCCCTAACAGGGGCTACACCTCGGGTCAGGCTGAACCTGGTAAGACCAGCAATTAAAAGGTCGTTCCACGATCCTCAAAGCCTCCTGGCCAGAGCCGTTGCTGTCGGATGTAGTAAGACACCCAGGACACCCGATTGAGCTGTGAGACCTAGATCAGAATAGGGATCAGCTAACAATATACGGTGTTTAGATTTAAGAGTTTGTTTTGTCAAAATAGACACACTGTAATTAATGAAATTTGATCTCATTTTAATAATAAAACAATATCTCATTTTAAGGTGTTTTTTTTAATGCAGAGTGACCCCAAACATTTTATATATATATATATATATATATATATATATATATATATATATATATATATAAAAGCAGGACAGACTGGGTTCTATAGCCTTGGATGGCAACTGGTCTAGTAGAAGAACAACTCTGAATTCAAAATCTGTGGAGGATTCGTTTGGGGACCTTGTGGCACGTAGTGCACCAGGTCTCTGTATTCGGCCCTTCAAAAAGTGTGGTTGGTTCTGCACGAAACCTTCACCACTATAATTAAATCTCATGTGCTGTTGTCGGGCTGTCGGTTTCCTAGGATCTGATCTGCTTAACCCTCATACGTCGAATTCGACATGAGAGTCGAGTATATATATATATATATATATATATATATATATATATATATATATGTGTGTGTGTGTGTGTGTGTGTGTGTGTGTGTGTGAAAATATATAGAAAATAGGAAAGAACTCGTTAGGTAAATAATCGAAAGTTCTTTAGTATTTTTGTTATTATTTAAAAAAAAAACAGTGCTCGATAGAAAAGTATAGCCTAAATATAATTATTTATTTAAAAATATGATTCTATCTCTACATAAGAGTTCTCATGTTTCAAAACAAGAGTCGAAACTTCAAAAATTTAGACACCCTAACCTTACCCTGACTTGACCTCTTTGAATGTAACTGAGATATTGATAACAAATTATTAAGCCTTACGCCCCTTTTTTTAAAATAATTGCTCTAGCCGTTACCATAGTAATTTTAATTTTAATAATGCTTATAAAACGCGTAAATTTCAAGAATCAGTTATTACAAAAAAAAAATTCGCATGAAGATGGAACAGAGCTTGGTACTTTAATTCAGTTAAATTATATTGAAGATTTCGGATCTTGTTTTGAAACATGAGAACTCTTATATAGCGATGGAATCATATTTTTAAATAAATAATTATATATATATATAGTTATCGTCGCATAGCAAGATGGTGAATATATTTGTTTAAATGTCTGTATAACCAAACTGAAGATGGTTTATGTGAGCCGAAACATTGGATCAACGACCAACTTAAAAAAATATCGAAATTTTGGAGAATTTTTGTCATTATTTTCAACCGATATTAAAGCAAAATTATCCATCCCCAAAAATTTAATATCTAAAACAAAACAAAA